CTCACCTCCCGATCTATTGAGCCGACGTGTTTCATTGTCACACGTCGGCTAGAACTATGAGGATCAGTGACTTTCACTAGACGTGGGCGATTCGTTTCGTTCCCAATTGAAATTCGGACGAAATTTCGGAAATTCGTAGATTCGGAGCATACGAATTTCCCAAATATAAAGCATCCGATTCCGGATAGGAACGAATCTCGTCCAGATCCTGTGGGTGCTCTGTTAACATTTAAACTAGGGATGCACCGATACCACTTTTTTAAGAGCGAGTACCGATACTTTTGATCAAGTACTCGCCGATACCAATTATCGATACTTTTCCTTAAAGGGACAGGTCACATTTTTTCTAAAGCAATACAAACTAATGCTTTAAGGTCACTTTTTTTATATTATGATTCATGAGATGACGAGGGAGCTCCCGGCCAATCGGAATGCCGGGGGCGCTGCGTCATTACACGGCGCCCGGCTTCCGGATTTGCTAGCTTCCTGATACAGGAAGTACTCGTGCTCGGCATCGGAGCATTTGGACGAGTACGAGTACTGACCCAAATACTCGGTATCGGTGCATCCCTAATTTAAACGGATGAAAACAAATGAAGAGAAGGATTTTAATGTCTCTTTAATAGTAAAGACGAGAGCGCAGCAACCGGAAATGACAAATGTGCCAATTCTGCTACCCCACCTCAAGTTGAATTTTCGGGAATTCGTCCGAATTCCGAATCCGAATCCCGAAACGAAACACATACAGGATCCGAAAAACAAAATCCTAAACGAAACGAATTTTTAGCCGCTGCACATGCCTAATTTTCACTCACCTCTCAGTTCTCCTTTAAAATCCCGATCGAGGTCCTAACCCTTCCCCCAACTCTACCCAAAAAAGAAAAATTTGTTTTTGGGGTTTTTTTTTTTTTGTGTGCTCCTTATGACATTGACCAATCTCGTGCTTTCAGGTGGCCGCCATGAACCAGCCGCGAGGGGATTTCTCCCTGGCCTCGGTGACCGATAAGCTGGTCGCGGTTGGCGGGAGAAATGAAAACGGGGCCATGTCTTCGGTGGAAATCTACTGCCCTCGGCTGGACACCTGGACCTACGTTTCGGAGCTCCCCAGGTGAACCGCAGCGGAGGCCGACTTGGGGCTCGTTCAGGGATTCTTATATGGTGGTAGGGGGGAGGCGCAATGCACCCGCTCTCTAATATACGGGAGCTGCATCTGGGTCATTGCAGACATGTGATTGAAGCGCCAGATTAAAAATTCCAGATCAATTTTATTTGGCAAAGCATTCAGTGACAACAGGCAACGTGTTTTGGGGGGGAATAAGAACCCCCCCTCCCCCCCCACCTTCATCATGCCTTATGGATGCAGAAAACAGAATATAATCTAGATTGGCCTCTCAACCTGTTTAACATGGAGGAACCCTTGAAATAATGTTCAGGGTTATGGGAAACCTACTAATAGCTACATCTCATGGTACATTAACTTCATGTCTGAGAATAAATGCCAAAATATAGACTTTGGCATATTTGACACCCAGGACTTCTCTATACCACCAAGTTTTTTTATTCTCGGTAATTCTCATAACGAAATGAAAAGAATGATAATAATAGAGAAAATGAAAAACAGAAAGCTTAAGTCATAGTGTTCCCTCAGTTCTCAGTGGAGAAAGGCCTCCTTAAATTGTTGGTGCGCCTTCACATTGGTGGTCATTGGGAGGAGGCCCCTCTTTCATTGCTGGTCATTAGGGAGCAGCTCCCTCTTCCATTGGCGGTCATTGTGAGAAGATCCCCCTTCCATTGGTAATCATTGGGAGAAGGTCCCTCCTTCCATTGGTGGTCATTGGGAGAAGGTCTCTCTTCCATTGGTGGTCATTGGGAGAAGGTCTCTCTTCCATTGGTGGTCATTGGGAGAAGGTCTCTCTTTCATTGGTGGTCATTCAGGAGAATGTCCCTCTTCCATTGGCGGTCATTGGGAGAAGGTCCCTCTTCCATTGCTGGTCATTGGGAGAAGGTCTCTCTTCCATTGGTGGTCATTGGGAGAAGGTCTCTTCCATTGGGAGAAGGTCCCTCTTCCATTGGCGGTCATTGGGAGAAGGTCCCTCTTCCATTGGCGGTCATTGGGAGAAGGTCTCTCTTCCATTGGTGGTCATTGGGAGAAGGTCTCTCTTCTATTGCTGGTCATTGGGAGAAGGTCTCTCTTCCATTGCTGGTCATTGGGAGAAGGTCTCTCTTCCATTGGTGGTCATTGGGAGAAGGTCTCTCTTCCATTGCTGGTCATTGGGAGAAGGTCTCTCTTCCATTGCTGGTCATTGGGAGAAGGTCTCTCTTCCATTGCTGGTCATTGGGAGAAGGTCTCTCTTCCATTGCTGGTCATTGGGAGAAGGTCTCTCTTCCATTGCTGGTCATTGGGAGAAGGTCTCTCTTCCATTGGTGGTCATTGGGAGAAGGTCTCTCTTCCATTGGGAGAAGGTCTCTCTTCCATTGGTGGTCATTGGGAGAAGGTTCCTCTTCCATTAGTGGTCATTATGAGAAGGTCCCTCTTCCATTGGTGGTCATTGAGCGAAGGTTCCTCTTCCATTGGTGGTCATTGGGAGAAGGTTCCTCTTCCATTGGTGCTCATTGGGAGAAGGTTCCTCTTCCCTTGCTGGTCATTGACGTTAGTGGTAGCTTATCCTGAGAGTCAGAAATTTCCCATTGCTCAAGGAACCCCTCGCAACCTCCTGGGGGAACCCTGGTTGAGAAAGGTTGACCTAGACTGTGATTATGATTGACAGGAGGATGGCGTCCTCTTCAGTCTGCTTCCAGTCCTCGACACGGCAGCCCCGTTTTGGTTGAATGCTTTGACAAACAAAATCAATCTGTACAAGAACCTTTTTATACCTTTTATCACAAAGGGCTTATGTAGGAAAGCAGAGCAGTGATGGGGCCGTAACCAATCGCAACAAGATTTTACTTTAGTAGACTAAATTATCATTAAAGGAGAACTACGAGGTCGAGGCTTTCCCCCATAGTTCTCCTAAGAGTAACGGGAGGACACAAACTAGCGTCCTCCCGTCACCCTAGGCTCAGTATATAGAGAGCTGTAGCTCGCGGTATACTGAGACGCCGCAGCTGAAGCAGATCCCGACAAATGTGTCTGGATCCGCCCAGCTGCGTGAGTGACAGCTGGCTCCTCCTATCTAGAGGCAGAGCCAGCTGAAACCGCCCCGTCCCCCGTCCGTTCCACCAGTCAGCGCTGGCGGATCGGAGCGGGGAGGGGGGAATCCAGCCCCTCCCCTGTCACGGCAGAGAGCCGTGACAGGATCGAGAGGTGAGCGAGCGCCGGTATGTGTTCGCTCACCTCCCGATCTACTGAGCCGACCTGTGACCGTCTCATTGTCACAGGTCGGCTAGAACTATGAGGTGAGTGATTTTTCACTCGACCATTAGTTCTCCTTTTAAAGAACATTTAGAAATAAGTTATAAGACATATATTGTACTAATTACCTCGATTTCATCGTCTCGCCTCCTTTTCCCTGTTATAGAAATCTAAATATGACGGTGTAGTCCAATAAGCACCAGTGTTGGACCCAGTGCAGTCTGTAATCAGCAATCAGTAACAGACCTTGTTCGACATGTCCTCATCCCTGATGCAAATATGAAAATGTCTTGATGGGTGGGTGTCTGTCTGGGGCAGTGGGGGTGGGGAAGTAAGCAATTCCAGGTCCAGGAGGGTACTCCAAGTCCAAAACCTTAGAGAGGGAATGTCTGATTGGCTGGGAACAAACAGGAAGTGTCCGTAGGGTCTCGGTGGGCCATTGAGCAGGTTTAATATAGTTTGTTACAATGTTGCCACGTCTCTTTCCTACTGCAGGTTCACGTACGGCCACGCCGGCACGGTCCACAAAGACTTCATCTACATCTCCGGGGGGCACGACTACCAGATCGGCCCCTACAGGAAGAACCTGCTGTGCTACGACCCCCGGGCGGACGTCTGGGGGGAGCGGAGGCCCATGATCACCGCCCGGGGCTGGCACAGCATGTGCACCCTGGACGACAGCATCTACGCCATCGGGGGCAGCGACGACAACCAGAACTCCATGGAGCGCTTCGACATCCACAGCGTGGAGTGCTACAGCCCCCAGTGCGACCAGTGGGTGCGCGTCGCTCCCCTGCTGCAGCCCAACAGCGAATCCGGCGTGGCCGTCCTGGGCGGCAGGATCTACGTCCTGGGGGGCTACAGCTGGGAGAGCACCACCTTCTCCAGGATGGTCCAGGTCTACGACAAGGACAGGAAGAAGTGGGGGAAGGGGCCGGACCTGCCCAAGACCGTGGCCGGGGTCTCCGCATGCGTCTGCATGCTGAAAAACAGAGGCGACGACAGGAATAAGAAAAGCAAGACGAAGAGGCACTCGGACAGAGGATGGTGAGCGCTGGCGGGCGGGCCGAGGACTATGAGCCCATTGCGGGGACTCTCCATTGCGGGGACTCTGTACTGACTCGCTGAAAATCACTTCAACCCCCTCTGTGTGTGTGTGTGTGTGTGTGTGGACTTAAAGTGTACCTGTCACGTAGGCAGCCATTTTTCTATACACTCAATGTTATAACTCTGCTGCCACCTTGTGGCTGGATCCCGATATGACCGACTTTTATGCATTATGTCATTTTGTCTGCTGGAATAGTTGGCAGTTGCTTGCTTGTGATGTCACTGGTTCCTCCTTTTTTATTTTATTTTTACCCCTTACAAGGGCAATTATCCGCAGTTAGTCTCTACCACAGGGCAATATAAGATGGGAGCTTCCATTGCTGTGTCGGACATAAATGATTCCGTTCAATGAGAGATCCGCGTCCCTGTCCTGTAGAAATAACGTGAAGATGAAGAAATAAAAACGACATGTGCTCAACCCCAAGAAAAAGAGGCGCTCCGAGAGTCCCCCAAATGTGCAAGAATAATAATAATGGTGTGTGTGTGTGTGTGTGTGTGCGCGCGCGTGTGTGTGCGCGTCCTGAGGGTGGAAGAACAATGAAGCGCCGGGAGCCAAAACGTTTCCGGAGTCATCTTCTCCCTTCTTCAGGGCCGATCGCTGTTTTTTTTAATCGAAACACGACAATAGGTGTATAATTTCATTGGATGATCCTTTCCCCCAGCCCCCCTCAACCCTCCTTATAATGGAGGAACCCTTGAAATTAGGGATGCCGATACCAGGTACTCGCCGATACCAATTACCGAGTTCCTGAAGTCCCATGCAGGAAGCCAGGTGGCGTGCAATGACTCGCCACCCGGCTTCCCCATCAACCATCAAGTCTGTCCCCTCTTACCTTGTCCAGCCTGTCTCACCCCCGGGGGCCTCTCCAGCCAGAACGCGGCCTTCCTCCGGTACCCAGCCGGAGCCGTCTGGCCGGGCCAATCATGGAAGCCGGAGCGCCGTGTAATGACGCGACGCCCCGCTTTCCGATTTGGCTGGGAGGCCGGCTCCGTGCTCCGTCGTCATGAGATGACGAGAGAGCATGAGCCAATCGGAATGCCGGGCGCTGCGTCATTGCACGGCGCCCGGCTGATTGGCCAGCTTCCCGACCAATCAGGAAGCCGGGCAGTGCGTCATTAATGACACGCT